CAGTTCCAAACCATGTATATCCATTGAATACTCTGCAACATCCCACGGGGATACTCATTCAATGTGCTGAAAACCAAACTAGCTTTCCTGACACTCTGCCTAGTCCTTACATATGCTAATTAAAAAATAAAACAAAACAATCCCCCTCAAAATCCTATCCTTTAGACTTTCTCTCACCAGTTCTTTCCCTCAGTTCTATGACTATGTAAATTATGCTTCCTCTTCTATCTTAATCCAAATCTTCCATACACTCCTCTTATCAAGATGGTCTGTATTTTTTTTAGTACCATCTACTTTGTATGCTTCTGTGACATTTCTGTGTTATTATGCCACTCTAAAATACATCCTCACCTCTCCAATGTCATTTCAACTCCGGTTAAAAGCTTTTCACCTGAGGGTGTACAGTCTCTTAAAAGCAGATAGCTACGTAATCACTTTTGCCTCATGACTAGTGAAATTTCTACCAAAGAACTATCACCTATTCAGAGCCTAGAAGGAATTATCTTGATACCATACAGTGTTCAGCACAGTTCCGACATGAGTCATATAATGTCAGCTGTCCTAATTTTTCCACACAAAATCAGTAATAAATCAGACAGAATTGTGTTTGAAACAATACATGTGGCATTTATGTAAAAAAATAGCATTTCATCTAAAATGAATGCTTCAACTTCCTTCTTCATCTCTAAATTTGCTTTTCTTCTTCATTTTCTCTTTGATTGTCTAAGACTAACTCTTCATTTGCATCCTTGATGCTATTCCTTCTCTCATATGCAGAAACTTGATTTACGGAGATAGGAGCCTTGTCTGTTTCATGCCCAGCTTCCATAACAACAAGTACCTAGCACACAGTAGATTTTTTTTAAATGTACTGAATGCTTTATTAATGAATTATCCTCTTTTTCTGTTGTTTTTTCAGTTTCTCCCCTCTTCCTCTAAATCAGGTCCTTCTGTTGGTCTACTAATATGTCTATCATTTTTCAAGGAAGAAAAAGTAAACAAAGAGAACCCATACAAACTTTGTCTTGACTCTTTCCAAGCTATTGGCTACGTATTTCCTTCTGCCACCAAGCTTCTTTTAAATCACATCTTCACCATTTAATATTCAGTACATTGAAATGTGGTTTTCTCCCCAAAGTGCCTTCTCAAAATCATCACTAATTTCCTAGACCTTCTCACCCCTCATTCTCCTTGCTGCTCTTTTTACAACATTTAAAACAAAGGAACACCCACTGCTTCTTAAAACTTTCTTCCAGGAGGACTTCCTTGACTCCCTTAAAGAGGAGTTATATGTTTATTTCTCCATAGATGATCACAGCACTTATCATGCTGTTTGTAAATGATTACTTTTCAGTATCCCAGACTACACTAAAAGTTGGTGAAGATGAGCGTTATGTCTTCTTATCAATGTATTCCCATCGTCTACCCAATAAATATTTGTTGAATAAATGAATGAATATTGTCATCAGATCAACACCTAAAAGTGCTAAGAATACTGGATAACAGGATTGTTGGTTAAAATAAGGATGATGGTAACATTTTAAAGGAAAAGGGCAAGTAAAAATTGGTGGGATGGGCTATGGACAATCTGAAAGCAGCATAAAGATATGAATGAGTTCCTTCATGTATTCATTCATTCATTCATTTAGTATCTACTGTGAGCAAAGCAGTTAGGGAAGAAATAGAAAAATAATCAAGATACTGTACATATCCTCATGGACCTGTCTTTCAATCAAGGGCTGAGGGATTGAGAGGTGGTATGAACTGGTAGGAAATATGAGAAAGATACTTTGCCACTAAATATGAACTCTGATATCTAATATTTTAATATCTAATATTAAAATACCAGGACAAGTTTGGAAAACTACCAATCTGCTTCCTCTGGTCCACTGACCTATCATAACCTAGGTCTACCAACAGCAGTTCTCAAACTTTTGTGTACATAAGGACCACCAGGAGAGCTTGTTGCTCAAACTTTTGTGTACATAAGGACCACCAGGAGAGCTTGTTAAGGATGCAGAGAAATCTCTCAGAAATCCTAATTCTGTGGGTCCAGGAAGCTACATTTTTTATAAGCATCCTAAGGGATCATGATGCTTTAGGTCTACAGAGTATACTATTATAAAGTCCTTAGGTCATTCATGTTGTCCTAATTTTGCCATATCTGAGTTACACCTATAATATTATTTTCTAATAATTCTTTATTATTTTAATTATTATATTATATAATTATATAAATATTATTATATTTATAATATATATTTAATATATATTAAATATAATTATATTATACATTATATAATTATATAAATTATAATAATTTATAAATTTAAATATACATAGGTCTCTATAGACATATGTAGAAATATATGTATAGATAGCTATATCTATACATATCTACACATTTCTATACATATATCTATACATATATAGATATGTAGAGAGATCTATCTACCTATATATGTCTGTCTATCTATCATCTATATCTTAGCCTTATCCTCAGCAAGAGGTTTGATGACTTACATTTTTTATACACATGAAATACATAACCATTAAAAAGTCTGTCTATGTGTATCAATGGATGGAGAAACAGTTTGAGAAGCACTGTTCAAGAGATTATGTTCTGCAAACACCACATTCTTATAAGCAGTCAGATGATATAAATTATAACCAAAAGCTTCAGGGCAGTGAAGTTCAGCAGAACTGCACTTCAGAAGAGCTCATGTAGATATACTGGTACCTTTTATGGATTATAAAATAATTTTAGAATGCTTTAAAAATTAATGTTCTAATTAGTACAAAATGACTTATTATAAAAACTCCTCTTCATATTGGCTCTTTATTTTAAAAAGTGCTTTGTCTTTTATTCTGGTACTTAACTCGCACAGTATTCTTGAGCTGACACCTGAGTGAATTCCCAACATCTAAGTTAAAACCAGCAGTTAAAACAAAGCAAAGTTAAACAAAGCAAACAAAGCAAAGTTAAAACAAAGCAAAGACAGATTTGTGCTCTTGACCCACAATGAAATAGCCATCAATTTTATTTAAAATTACAGTTGATTAAGACTGACAATTGAATTCAAAGGTATAAACTCGATAACGATTTCTTTTCCTTCAAGACCAAAGTAATTTACAATAATAGGTAAAACAATATGATACACATATCAAAGAAATAACTATTTCAGGAAGTCTACTCCTTAAAGGCTTTGGCAACTCATAACCACAAAGAGAAAAGAAAAATTGAAATAGAAAATCTTCACCAAGAGAAAGATTGTGCTGACATTAAGCCTGTAAAAACAATATTCTACTCTAAATTATGCTTTTGCTTAAATGGTTAAGAAAATCAATTTCTATCTAAACTCAAGTGATGTTATTTGGATTCCACATTGTCACTGTGTCTCAAGTCAGTTCTACAGATTTAATCTCTAGTCACAAGGAACAAAAACACAGATGAATGGCTGTGGTCCTCGATCTCTACATCACTTAAATCAACTGGAAATTTACCTTACTACTGATTCATAAAGCGCTTCATCTTGTTTGGATGAAAGCTTTATTACAATAGCCTCCTAACTAGCCTTCCTTGTTAGCCCCTGTTCTCTACAGTCTATTCTCCACACAGCAGCAAGTAAAAACCTAAGTCAGTCACATCAGTCACTCTCCTCGACAAAACCATCCAGCACCTATCTCAGAGTGAAAGCCAAAGTAAAATTTTTCAATGGCTCACAAGACCCCCCAATACACACTCACCCTATCCTTCAGCTCAGCTCACACTACGGTCCCTTTGCTCACTCCATGCCACTTACAAGAGTTTCTATGCAGCTGCTTGCTGCATAGAATTTGCTATGCAAATTCCAGACCCAGGGCCTTTGCATTTGCAGTTCCTCTTGCCAACACAGCTATTCCCACGCATATCCATAGGGCTCTGCTCTATCACTTCCGTTGGATCTTTGCCAAACTTCATCTTCCAGGTGAGCCCTCTTATAAAGAATCCCCACCCGCTACATACTTTCTAACCGCTCTCTCTGCTTTTATCTTTTCCAGAGCACTTACCATTTGGCATTCTATACCTTTCATTTGTTCATCATTTGTTTACCCACGAGTTTGAATTCCTGGTGGGTGAAGATGGTCTTTTTGCTTTGTTCACCAGTGTCAAAAACAGTGCCGAGCACAGAGTAGATGTTCAATAAATATTTGCTTAATGAGCAAACTGTATGACTTCAACTTGAGGACTTTCAACCTTAGCCTTATTGAACGCTAGGAATAAAGAGCTGGAGGACACTCCCCAAATTTCGAGATGGCACTTGATGTCTGAACTTACAGGCAGTATCTTTTGTCTGGCACACGTTCCCTCTGATATTTCTTAGTAAGGCAGCAGGGAAATTCCTAACGTGTGCGAGGAAGAAGGCAGCCGACCGACCGTGTGTAAAACTGATTTGGGGCGACTTGCTTCTTATCCATAAGCCAACAGAGGAAAGCGTTTTGAATGAATATAGTTTCTCCTCTCCTAAGGAAAATATGCTAAATGTTTGTTACCTTTTGGAGGATGGGAAGGGGGACCGGGAGAGACGCGAAGGCCCGGCACACCTTCTGCAAGAGCGTCAACTCCAGTGCGGTCCAACTTACTTTTTCGTGGGGGGCAGGCATCGTCCGTGGTCTCTGCCGGGGGTGTTTCTTTCTCACCCTCAGCTGCCTATTGTGCTGCGTCTGGCCAACGAGGTAAGGTGGGCGAGAAGTGGGGTGTGAAGGGATGCGGAGTGCGGTTTCAACTGCCTCCTAACACAAAGTCGGGGCGGCCAGAGCCCGGCGCGGGGGTCCTGGGGGCGGGCGAGCGCCGGGGCCGCGCGCCTTCGACCGCAGCCCGGGCCCCGGGGCGCAGGCGGGACGCGGGCTGCGCGGAGTTAGGCCCGGACAGAGCCCGGTGGCCTCCCGGCGGCCGGGCACGCGGCCCCCGCGCACCCCGCTCACCCCGCTTCCCTCAACCCGGCGCCCTTCTCGGTTACCTCGAACTCTCTTCAGCGAAATGGGATCCTTCTCCTGTTCTGCTGACATTACAGACCGCAAAGCATGACTCCCCCCCAGGCCGCGGGAATTCGGTCTCTTTGATGCTGCGGCGGCGGCTCCTCCTCCTGCTCGCGGGGCCGCTGCGGCTGCGAGGCGAGCCTCAGAGCTGAGGCGCGGCCGAGGGCGGCAGGGACGCGGGCCGACTTTGCAAACTTTGGGAGAAGGACGAGGCCTCCGGACGGCCGGGCGGCGTGCGGGGTCCGGCCGGGCTCAGCGGCGGCGGCGGGAGCGCGGCCTCGGGGCGGCCCCCCGCCCGGGGCCGGCGTGTGCGGAGGACGAGTGCGCCGCCGCCGCCGCCTCCTCCCACTCCTTCTTCGCCGCCGCCGCCTCCTCAGGAGCCGCTGACAGGGGAGGCGGGAGGCGGGCGGCCGGGCCCAGGCGGCGCACTCACAGCGCCCTCTGAGGAGGAGGTCTGCGCTCTCGCCGCTCTCGAGTCGCAGACACAAAAGCCCCCAGCCTGGAGCCGCCTGCAAAACCCGCTCTGGGGCGGGCGAGGGACGTGGCGCGGCCCCGCGGCTTCCCCGCCCCGAGCTCCCCAGCCCCGCGCGGGGACGGACTTCGGGGGGGCGGGGGCCGCTGCCTGGTCCCGCGGCGCCTCCCGCCGCCGCCTAGCGCCCCGCCTCGGCCCAGCCCCCACGGCCCGCGCGCGCCTCTCGCTCCGCGCGGGGCTAGCGGGCCCGCGGCCCTGGCACTCGGGGCGGGCAGCGCGCTCCTAGGGGCCGCCCCGCCCAGCCCTGCGCTGCTCCGCGCGCGGCGCTCCCCCTCCGCCGCCGCCACCTCCGGGCCAGAGGACGCCTGGCTCGGCGGCCGACGCGCCCCGGCTTCTTCAAGGAATCCGCATCTCCGAACTTCTTCCGAGGCCGCAGCAGGCATCTTGGCCTCGCGGCCAGGGATCTGAAAGAGAAACGTACGAACCGAGAAAACTTTGTATGCGGGAGCTAGAGAGTTCTCCGCGGGCAAGTGGAGACCCAGATTTCCAACTCCGTGTCAGTGGTCTGGACACCTGTTTGTAGAATGCCACTACTGCAAGTTTTCACGACCTGATTCTTCCGAAAGCGATGCGGAATTAATATAAGGAAGGAGGGTGGGTGGGCGTGATGGGGCACCTGAACCTGATGTAGACGTTAATTTTAGAAGGACCCCCCTGCCCTCTCCCCCGCTCGCAACACACACACAAAGCCGTGTGATTGTATGATTACTGATTCCACATCCATTTATGCTGTGTGACCTAAGGCAACTTAAGTAACCTCTCTGAGTCTCAGATTTCTGATCTTGAAAAGGCCGTGGGGCTACATCTCTGAGATCTCTTCTGACTCTGACATTCTTTGACTTAACTTTCACGGAAATGTTTTCCCTGTTTGTTAGGTTTCCAGTTCTACTAAAGACATATTGTAGTTGTAGACTTTAATCTTCAATCAGGTGAGACACTGACCATTCTGATCCAGAATCACTGAGAAGCACTCATTAATCATATGATTACAAACAGGAGTCTCTTCCTTTCGAAGACAAGACCCATAGAACTCACTGAGTTGCACAGATAAGGACAGAACAGGTGTAAACATGAAGCCAATGTACAGTCTTAAGAACTACGTGACAGGATATGGTGTGGCCATGAAACAAATGTTACCCTTTCTCATTTAATAGCTTTGGGGAGAACTTTCTAATTTTAAGATTCAGACTAGGATATGTTAGGAAAATTTTTACAGGAGGCACGTGTAAGGAGAACCACCCACCAACCCCCCAACCCCAACAACGCAAGGCCCACAACTAGAATGTAAGCTCCATGCAGGCAGGAATTTTATGCAGTATGTTATCCTTTGGTACCTAACAGTGACTGGCAAGTGTTCAAAAATTTTTTGTTCTTGAATGAATGAGTGAATAACAGACTGGAAATGGTCCTTAGTGAACTAGATCGACAGGATTTTGGTAAGTGTGATAAACTCAAGCAAATGCTAAATATTGGATTATATATTCTAACTCACATGGTCGTTGAGAGAAGATGTGAAAGCACTTTGAAAATATCAGGTAATATGGAAATAGAGTTTTCTTATATGATCCTTAGTGCAAGAAAAGTGGTTGGGAAAAATCATGGCTAAGAGATTTTGAATTCTTTATTGTATTTCCTAAAGCTAGAGACTCAGAAATAATATATAATAAAGAGAAACAAACTGGCCTCTTCTTAATGATTCATCAAGAACAAAAAGGCAGAGTTCCCTGACATCCCAGTGGTTAAGACTCTGAGATTCCACTCCAACGAGCTTGGGTTCCATCCCTGGCCAGGGAACTAAGATCCCGCCTATGGCATATTGGAGGCAAAAAAAAAAGAAAGAGCATTTTACTTGGCCATGGATTTTTAGGTCATTTTGACTTCCAAATTCTGACTACTTGCTACCTAACAGAATCACCTGAAAAGCATTCAAAATTTCAGCTTCCCAAGGCTCTCACCAATTGTTCTCAATCAGAATCCCCAAGAAGAGGTCTAGCAATCTGTCTTTAAATGCTCTCTCGGTGACTGTACAAAAAGAACATGGTGTATGATACTCCTTATGTTCCCAGTGTGACAAATTCCTATTAAAAACATCCCTTCGCCTTGCTGTTATACTCTTTTTTCATGGGTCTTGGATATGAGTTCCAGAATTTCTCTTTAGTCTCTCATATGGAGAGATGCCCAGGTCTTTAGTCTCTCGTATGAGAGATACCCAGGTTGGTCGGTGCCCAACATTCTATTGGAGATCAGTGGAGAAATAACTCCAGAAAGAATGAAGAGATGGAGCCAAAGCAAAAACAACACCCAGTTGTGGATGTGACTGGTGATGGAAGTCTGATGCTGTAAAGAGCAATATTGCATAGGAACCTGGAATTTTAGGTCGATGAATCAAGGCAAATTGGAAATGGTCAAACAGGAGATGACAAGAGTGAACACTGACATTTTAGGAATCAGCGAACTAAAATGAACAGGAATGGGTGAATTTAACTCAGATGATCATTATATCTACTACTGTGGGCAAGATTCCCCTAGAAGAAATGTAGTAGCCCTCATAGTCAAAAAAGAGAGTCTGAAATGCAGTACTTGGATGCAATCTCAAAAATGACAGAATGATCTCTGTTCACTTCCAAGGCAAACCATTCAATATCACAGTAATCCAAGTCTATGCCCTGACCAGTAATGCTGAAGAAGCGGAAGATGAATGGTTCTATGAAAACCTACAAGACCTTCTAGAACTAACACCCCAAAAAGATATCCTTTTTACTATAGGGTACTGTAATGAAAAAGTAGGAAGTCAAGAAACACCTGGAGTAACAGGCAAGTTTGGCCTTGGAGTACAGAATGAAGCAGGGAAAAGGCTAATAACAGTTTTGCCAAGAGAAAGCACTGGTCAAGCAAACACCCTCTTCCAACAACACAAAAGAACATTCTACACATGGACATCACCAGATGGTCAATACCAAAATCAGACTGATTATATGCTTTGCAGCCAAAAATGGAGAAGCTCTATACAGTCAGTAAAAACAAGACTGAGAGCTGACTGTGGATCAGATCATGAACTCCTTATTGCCAAATTCAGACTTAAATTGAAGGAAGTAGGGAAAACCACTAGACCATTCAGGTATGACATAATTCAAATCCCTTATGATTATACAGTGGAAGTGACAAATAGATTCAAGGGATTAGATCTGATAGAGTTCCTGAAGAACTATGGATGGAGGTTCATGACATTGTACAGGAGGCAGTGATCAAGACCATCCCCCAAAAAAAGAAATGCAAAAAGTCAAAGTGGTTGTCTGAGGAGGCCTTACAAATAGCTGTGAAGAGAAGTGAAAAGCAAAGGAGAAAAGGAAAGATATACCCATTTGAATGCAGTGTTCCAAAGAATAGCAAGGAAAGATAAGAAAGGTTTTCTTCAGTGATCCGTGCAAAGAAATAGAGGAGAACAATAGAATGGGAAAAACTAGAGATCTCTTCAAGAAAATTAGAGATACCAAGGGAACATTTCATGCAAAGATGGGAAAAATAAAGGACAGAAGTGGTATGGACCTAACAGAAGCAGAAGATATTAAGAAGAGGTGGCAAGAATACACAGAAAAACTGTACAAAAAAGATCTTCACCACCCAGATAATCACAATGGTGTGATCACTCATCTAGAGCCAGACATCCTGGAATGTGAAGTTGAGTGGGCCTTAGGAAGCATCACTATGAACAAAGCTAGTGGAGGTGATGGAATTCCAGTTGAGCTATTTCAAATCCTGAAAGACGATGCTGTGAAAGTGCTGTACTCAATATGCCAGCAAATTTGGAAAACGCAGCAGTGGCCAGAGGACTAGAAAAGGTCAGTTTTCATTCCAATCCCAAAGAAAGGCAATGCCAAAGAATGCTCAAACTACCGCACAATTGCACTCATCTCACACACTAACTAACTAATGCTCAAAATTCTCCAAGCCAGGCTTCAACAGTACATGAACAATAAACTTCCAGATGTTCAAGCTGGATTTAGGAAAGGCAGCGGAACCAGAGATCAAATTCCCAACATCCGTTGGATCATCGGAAAAGCAAGAGAGTTCCAGAAAAACATTTACTTCTGTTTTATTGACTATGCCAAAGCCTTTCAGTGTGTGGACCACAACAAACTGTGGAAAATTCTGAAAGAGATGGGAATACCAGACCACCTAACCTGCCTCCTGAGAAATCTGTATGCAGGTCAAGAAGCAACAGTTGGAACTGAACATGGAACAACAGATTGGTTCCAAATCCGGAAAGGAATATGTCAAGGCTGTATATTGTCACCCTGCTTATTTAACTTATATGTAGAGTACATCATGTGAAATACCAGGCTGGATGAAGCACAAGCTGGAATCAAGACTGCCAGGAGAAATATCAATAACCTCAGATATGCAGATGATACCACACTTATGGCAGAAAGCAAAGAAGAACTATAAGAGCCTCTTGATGAAAGTGAGAGGAGAGTGAAAAAGTTGGCTTAAAGCTCAA